TTTCCACACGTGATAACAAGTGGTGCACTCAGAAATGTGGGTGAATCCGCGATACTGCTCCCCCTCATCTTTGTTTCCTGATAGGGACTCTCCTGTTTGGCACAGTGAGATATGCGTAATCAACAGATTTGGGGATTTATAAAACGATTATTTAATTATTTAATATCTCTCTCTCTCTCTCACACACACACACACACACACACACACACACACAGAGAGAGAGAGAGAGAGAGAGAGAGAGAGAGAGAGAGAACTTGGTTGGATTTTGGTGTTACATACCCAGCATGGGGGTGGGCAGGGGCAACATTAGCAGTTCTGCCAAATGTTTTAGCCCATCCATCCATTCATGTCTGTCCTTGAAGTGTAGAACTGGAACACATCTTAATGACAGTCACAACCATTCTGTATGGATTTCCTTGAAAGTGTGACTCAGTGAGGTTCACTCCTGCCAAGTTAGCAAAAGATTCCAGAAGGCTGCTTCCTTCTGAATACACTAGTTAAATGCAAAGTGCAAGGGTATAAGTGGTGCTGTGCCAGAGCCCTAAAAATAGATGCTTATGGATGTGTTTCTTTCTTGAGGACATAATTTTGAAAATGCCTAATAGTTGGAGATAGTCACTGCATTTTCTTCACCTGTGGTACCATAGCGTGCGTGCTTGTTTTCTTTAGAGACTGTTCGAATGAACAAACATACTTCTTTACAGTCGTAAACAAATGCTATAAGATACTGTTAAGATTTCTGAGAAGTTGGCAGCAGTCCATAAAGGCTTATGCAAGATATAGTGTCAGGATATCAAAAGACTGTTGTTTTTGCAATATTAATCTCCTGGTTGTGGTTTGCATTGTTTCCTCTCCTCTAATGGGCAGGATCCTCTTACAGATCTGGCTTAATTCAAGCAAAAAACAATGAAGCAGTGAGTATTAATTTATTCCCCTCCTCTATTTCTCATTGTTAGACCCACCTACCTGTTGGCAGGTCCTGAGGTCATTAGGCCTGGAGCAAATCTCACTATTGGAGTAACGCTGTTGAAGGCAAGCCCATCACATGTTACAATAAAAGGAGAAGTGTTGTTTGAAAATAACTCTGTGCTACGTGGGGAAGCTGTCTTCCAAAGAGGTGAGAGGACTTCATTGACCTAAAAGATACCTGAAATGTATAGCTGACTCCTTCCTCCATCAGTTATTAGTCATTATTGTGCCCATTGCAGCGCAGTTGCATGGGTGTTTACTCAGAAGTAAACTCTCCTGTAGTCTTAAATGTAAGATTACTGTGGTTAAAAAGACTGCATTTTATGACTGTTAAAGGAGCGCATTAGATATAGTAATTTAAAATGTCTAAAACAATTACATCTTTTTTCTGTTACTGAAGTTCTGGAGGGATATGGAAGAGTGTGGTCTCTAAAGATGAATTGCTGGATAGCCCAGTGGTTTTGGTCCCTGGCTGTGGTTAGCCAGAGGTTAGGGAATTCAATTTCCCACACAGGGTTCCTTCCAGCCCTTCCTTTCTAAGATTGCTGACATTATTTGCTGAGTTGGTCTAATGGTTGTGCAAAAGCAGTCTTGAGTTCTGAGATTGGAAAGGGACCTCGTTCCTTGTACTTTGTCATTTGTTGCCTGAACCTACTCCTGACAGTTCCTCTTTCAAATGTTCTCCTGACTGTTTCCACTGTTTCTGTTCAGGAGGGGCTGATGGGTTCAGAAAGAGCTTTACTCCTTTTTACTGGCATGTAAGTTGAGAGAAGCTGAAAAGTGCTTTGGAGTCCTGACAAGCAAGCTGGGGAAAAAAACCCCAAACAAAAACCTGTCTAGAGGAACTGGGTCAGAAGAATGGTTGCAGCTGGCTTTTGGTTTGTTCTGAGTTAGAGGCACAGAATTTGAAGTGTGTGCTTTCGGGAATGAATACCTATAAGCTGCCTTATGAGAAAGGTTCACTGTGTTTATGTCCTTTTGCTTCTCAGACCTGACTCTGGGTTGACAAAACATCGGAAGTACTGGCAAAGCATGTCCTTGCATGTTCCTCTTGGGTTATTCTTTTCAATAGCATAATACAGTAATTATTTAGCATATTTGTGGACTATCATTTCTCCAAGGAGTTAAAGGTGGTGTACGTATGATAATCTGATTTTTATCCTCTTAAAAACCCTGAAAGAGATTGTTATTTTAACAACCTTGAGAAATAGGATAGTTATTTATCTAGGGCAACTGAGAGAGTTTAACGATGGGCAGGGATTTGAACTCAGGACAATCGGGTCCAAATTCAGCATTGTGTCTACTAATATGTTTTCTGTCATCCACATATAATAGACTTGGGCTGGAGGAACATTTTGTAAAAAAGTTTATTTGTGTGCTCCAGGGGAGGATGGGTGCAGCATACAGATGAAAAAGATTTCTCAAGAATTTCTGAACAATCCTATGTATCTTTAGGCAGAAATAGATTCCATTGTGTATGGTGGGGTTTATTTCGTGCGTTTAGAATTGCACCCCAAATGCCACACACTGCTGTGAAAGGAGATGATAGAAAAGTAAAGCAAAGCATTCTGCTTATATAACACCCCATAAAATACTCTCTGTGTGACTTACAATTGAATTATGCAGGCTGCCAAGGTTCCTGCTAAGGTGGGGGGTGCACACACATGCACACAACTCTGTTTCCCTCCACGTAGCTCTCTTCCTTCTCCACATAGCAATCACGTTAGGTTCCAACGGAACCCAGTGCACGGGGGGTGGGGGTCGTGGAGTTGTGCATGAGCGCAGGGGCGAAGCCGTGTGTGCAAGAAGTGGAGCCCTGCCCAGTGGGGCTGAAATTTAGAGGGTACATTGCAGGCTACCCCCTTGTCCCAGTAAACTGGGTACTCAGTTTACTAACCACAGAAGGATGGAAGGCTGAGCCAACCTTGAGCCGCCTACCTGAGCTGTTAGGATTGAACTCAGGTCGTAAGCAGAGTCTTGACTTCAGTTTAACTACTGTGCCATGAGGCTATGTGCCATTTGGGAATTTCCATATACAAAGAAAATTCTCCATAAGAGATCACAGGTTTAATTTATGGGATAGTCTAGTTTTCTTCTTGGTCAAGAATGTAATAAAAAAAAAGGTTTGGAATTATTTCTCAGCCCTTCAAAACTCATGTCTCCTTTTGATAAATGCAGTCATCTCATTCTCCCTGTCAAATCTGTCTCCTCCAATAATTTTATCTGAAATTTGAAATATTGTCATTAAAAGGAAATGAAAGCATTGTAAACTTAAAAAGTGGATGCAACTGCAGCATGTAATAAAATGAGGCATGAAGCAGCATTTCAAGAAAGCTGTCGCTATAATCTCCCTCACATAACAATCTCTATTACAGTATTAAATATGTTTTTCTAACAACGCATGACTCCACCTTTTTTTTAGAAAGAGCAGTTTAATAAATGTGAATTCAAAAGAATGCATCTTGTATAAAATAAGAGCAGAGCAAACTAGAACAGATTTGGTTTTTCATTCTTGAATTGGGATGGTTTACTAATTTTCACTTTACCTGAATTGTTCTCCATCTATTGGAGACTATTGCTAGGTAAATGGGAATTGAATTGTAGTCCTATAATGCAGTTCTACATACCCGCCTTTCTTTCTGTCTATTTTACCAGTTCTCTTGACACATGTATAGGATTATAGCTTTATCCAGAAAGTGATAGGCATAATCCCTCCCATTTTTAAACTGAAATATATATATCAAATACTATACTGCAATGTGGGTTTTTATTTGAAAATGGGAGGGATTACGCCTGTCATATGGCTCTCCTGAAATCTAAATACACTCCACCTTACAGGGAGAGATCCCAGTGGTTGACAGTTACCTGAAATATATGTAGGATCAGTAATCCGCTGATGCTTACTGAAATGCATATAGGTTTGCAGCATTAATATTGAAGCTAAATTGTGACTCTTGAACTTTGCGGCTCAGACATTAGTCACCGGGTGGACTGAGGAATTGTAAGTTTCAGCACCATCTTCTGCAGAGATCTGATTTTGCATGGTTTATTGCAAGGCTGAAACGACTTCCTTTCCACATACGTTGGATTCCTACCTTCCACAAGAAGGATGGCCAGTGGCTGCACTGTTTGGGGTGTTAGAAGCTGTAGTCCAACATATTTGGAGGGCCCTGGGACAGAGAAAGGACTGCTTGGAAGGACGACTGTGTACATTTTCAGGGGTGAGGGGGTGTTAGTGTTGCAAAAAGAGGAGTTCTGCCATACCTGAAAGACCCAACAAGTTTTATTGGTGCAGTGTTTTGTGGACTCCAGCCCAGTGAATCTGAGGAAGTGGTTGGAATCCCTGAAATCTTATTCCAATAAAACTTCTTAGTCTAAAAGACGTTGGTTTTCAATTACCATTTTATGAAGCATTTGGAGCATTCTAAGCACACTGTGAAGTCTAGATTTCCGGCAATTTGTGACGTTATGATTTAGGAAGAAAAATGTGTCTCTGCTCAAAATCGCATAAGAACCAAAATTTGTTATTGAGTTTTACTTTCATTTCGGATTAATGTTCTTACCCATTAAGAGTGGTCATAGGCTTCTGGAAGAGAACAGAAGAGAACTTGATACCAAAGTTAAATCTGGTATAGAATCAGAGGCTTCTTTTCCCAACTCTTTCCTCCTCTTTTTGATCCACAGCTGGGTGAAGGGAATGGTGAAAGTGGGGGGTCCTGCTGAACTCTTTCACCTCCAGTTGTTTTTCCCCCCTCAAAATTGTTCCTCCCAAACTTTTTTACTTCCCATAGGAAGATCATATTGTCAGGGGACAAACAGATTAGGGACTCCTGAATTTAGAAAAAAAATGGCTCCAGGGTTAAAGGGTGCAGTAGTTCTTTTCCTCTCGTTCAAACATAGTTTTCTGAAACATGTTTTTGTAAGGGGAAGGATACACATAACGTCCTAGTTTTAGAAGAGGTAGCCCTGCTAGTCGGTGCTAGCATCTCAGGCAAAAATAAAAAATAAAAAAATAAAGAGACGATGACGGGATGATGGGATTTGTAATCCTAACCTGGTGGGGCAAAGGTTGTGCCTCCCCTCCCCTCCTCTCCATCTGAAAGGCTGCCAGAGGAAGGCTCCTGCCTGAAGTCTGATCATTTGCAGAGGATTTTCCATCCTTAATTCACCACTTCCACTCCTGCTTTCAGCAAATTCCACCTTCTTTTGCTGCTCAAATTGCTGATAATCTGGGAGGGAAGGCTTTCTCCTACTACATCTGCCTTGGCCCCAGCCTTCTTTGCTTAACTCTGCAATGAGAAAAAAGTTTCTACAAGTGTTTTATGCTGAAACAGAAATCAGTTAGAATAAATTGTGGCAAAAAAGAGTAGGTGTTACATGACTGGCAAAGATCTAAGAGATAAAGAGTGCAGTTTTTCTTCTAAAGGGGAAACTCAGGTTGGTAAAATTATGGCAGCAAGGGCAAGTGAAGAAGTAGAAGGCTAGTCTCTCTGAGTTGGGTTGGGTACTGTTAGCCTGGGTTGGTTACGGTGAGAAATACAGAGAAAAGTTTTCCCCAAAGGCCTTCCCTAGGCAGGCAGGGCACACTCATGGCTAGTGGCAGACATACATTTTTGGGGCCTTAGAACTTGAACTGTTATGGGGGCCATTCTCAACCAGCAGTGAGGTCTGGGTAACCATAATTTTTTTTAAAAATGTGGACTAAAGTTGCTTCTGGGGCTCTTATGAGATTACAGGCGCTGGAGCTTAAGCTTCATTAGTTTCATAATAGAAACGCCCTTGCTCATGGCATAAAAGTTACAGCTATCAGTCTGATGTCTAGGGAAGAGAGATTCTAATTCTATTTACAAGAACCTTTCTGTTCTGGGAATGCCATAAAGGCCACCAGGTAGTAGCATTTATTTGGAGCCCCAAGAAGAAGAAGAAGAAGAAAAGTTTGGGGTGTGGGGTGAGGAAGGCAGGCATACTTTGCAATACCAATTCTGACCTACGAAAGGAACATGCACTCAGTCATAGTAATAAATAGTTGTAGCAAATGAAAGGAGCTAGATAAGAAAGGAAAAGAGGAAATTCCAGAATGCCAATCCTTCCTTGCACTGACAGTGCTGGTCTTTCATTTCCCTCTCCATGTATGGAAAATGGCTGACC